CTGTGAGTTCAAGGCCAGCCTGGTCTACAGAGCTAGTTCCAGGACAGGCTCCAAAACAATACAGAGAGACCCTGTCTCAAAAAAATCAAAAATAAACAAACAAATAAATAAAATAAAGAAAGAAAAAGAAAAAGAAAGTTTTCCTCTCATGAGGAATCTGTCCCACTTGCCCTGTGCAGCTATCCCCTCCCTGTCACTCTAGACACTCATTCCTTTGCCACAGAACTTGAAATGATCAGACTCTGATGGCCAGGACCAGGGTCCTCAGCATTGTTCAAATCCCTCAGTTCAGGGCCCATCCTTTGTGCTCTTTTTGAGACCCATTTGCAAGTCCACCCAGACAAGCACTGTTCCCACTCATAACCTACCATTCCTGTATCTCTTAGGGACTCAAAGAAAGACATCATAACTCTGGCTTGAGCTTGACTGGTATTAACCAACATATCCAGCTCAACCCTTTTGTGTGTGTGTGTGTGTGTGTGTGTGTGCGTGTGTGTGTGTTGTGTATGTTGGTGTGCATACATAGGCACATACTTGTATGGAGATTAGAGGAGGACATTGAGTGTCCTGCTTTGTCACCCTATTTTATTCCCTTGATACTAGCCAGTTGGGGTTCTAGGCATGCATATGGCCTCAGCCAAAGGAACATTTTGTTTTTGGTTTATTTTTTATAGAGATGGAACCCAGAATTTTACATGTACCATGCAAATTCTTCAGAGCCAAGCTCGTATTCCAAGCCACCTAAAGTGGGGGACTGTGGTGCAGCTGATTTGTTAGTTTTGCATGGGTATATCACAAAGGTGCCTCCTGTGTTCATAGGATAGGCTTGAGGGGCTGGCTCTGATGATTAGAGAATGCTGACTCCTTCATCAGTCCAGGTAGTCTTGACCCCAGCCCTGCCCTTGTTGCCACCCACCAAAGGCGTTGTGGTTGCCTGCTTGGGGCCAGGTTGTAGAGGAACACTTAGGGCAACTGGGTAAACAAGTGCTCTGGGGTCTTATCATCATACAGCCCCAACCCAAAGATGACCTTTATCTTCTGTCCCAGGAAGGGTGGAGTCCCAGGCACTAAGCCAGAGTCCTTTCCTGGAATCCTTTTGGAGCTGGAACTAAAAGTAATTTGCCTTAGGTCCTTGTGTCTGGGGCAGTGGACAAATCAACACACTTGCCCTAAGTTAGGCCCTACCATCAAAGCCTGGCTCTTCCCCTGGGCTAGACAGAACAACTGGGGAGCCAGAGTCCTTGTGAGTACTATATGTCCCCTTGCACTGTCAGGTAGGGGTCATTTTTTTCTTTCTCTATTGAAGTGACAATTCCATAAGCCAACAAGAACCATTTTAAAGTACAATTCAGCGTCATTGAGCTTATTTGGTGTTATATAACTGTGACCTTTAGCTATCTCCAAAACCCTGTCATCACCTCAAAGGAAACTCCACACCAGAAAGCTCTTGCTCCCCCCCACTGCCTTCTCAGAGTCCCTGGCAACTGGACGTCTGTCCCAGCCACCTCACTTTACCCTTCTGGCTGTTCCATCATATACAGTATTTATTACACAGCATTTGTGGCTGCCCTCTTCTGACACTAGTAGCATTTCTGTAGTGTTCAGGCTGTAGCTGGTCTTGACTTTTCGTTTCTCTCTATGTGTTAATAATACCATTATCTGATTCTGCTTATCGATTGATCAGCTGATAGATTTTGAGTTGTGTCTAATTTTGACTATTGGAAATAGTCTTCTGTCTGTCTCCTCTTTCTCTATATGTATATTTCCTTCTAACTTTGATCTTCCTGCCTCTAGCTCCTGAAGCATATTTTACAGCTGTGCAGTACTTTACTCCTTCTGCTTTATATAGTTTAGACTGTGCTGAGGATGGAGTCTAGGGCTTCCTGCATTCTAGGCCAGCCCCCAGTGTGTTCTTTTCTTTCATTGAGATCTTGCTATGTTGTCTAAGTTGGCCTTGAACTCCTGGGCTAAAATTCAGCAAGCCTCTTGGCCTTAGCCTCTTGACTGACTGGGCTACTGTTGCAGCCCCCATACCTATTTGCAAACAAGCATTTGTTTGAAGCCCTGCCTACTGTTCTTTTTTGGGACATATCTGGGAAAAGGGGTGCTGTGTCAGGAGGTCAGTGTGGTCACCTGTCCACATCCCCTCTAGAGATGTTTGCTGGGCTTCATTCTTCCACATCTCTATTCACTTGCTTTATGTCACTGTTTAAATTGTAGACATTTTGTAGACACTGAGAAGTAACATCTCATAGACAGTTGTTGGAGTTTTTTATTTTCATGTTTGTTTTGTTTATTGCTGTGATAGACTCCAGGGCCTTGTACTTTTGAAGTAAAAATGCTCAATCCTTTTTTTTCTTTTTTTCTTTTTCTTTTTTTTCTTTTTTTTTAAGAACAGGATCTCAATGTGTAGCTCAGGGTGACCTGGAATCCAAGACTCCTAATTTCAGGTTCTAGAGTTATGAGGAACAAGCATGCTGCTGGGTCACTTTGTTTTGTTACCCAGGTTAGTCCCAGATTCCTAGGTCCAAGTTAGAGATTTGGGAATTTATAATTTTTAAATTTTTTTTTTTAAAAAAATGCAATTTATGGGCTGGAGAGATGGCTCACTGGTTAAGACTGCTCTTGTAGATGACTTGGGTTCAGTTCCCAGCACCCACATGGCAGCTAGCAACTGTCTGTAATTCCAGTTCCAAGGGACCTGACACCCTTGGCAAAGCATCAGTGCACATAAAATAAAAATTACAGTTTATAGTTCTCATATTCTTAGTTTCATAGACACAGATTTATCCTTGTGTTTCCTTCTAAGAGCCTTTATAGGGTTTTGTTTTGTTTTTTGTTTTAGGTCGTAATGCTCTGTCAGCATCATATCCTCCTATAGACTGTTGTGAGCCACCATGTGGTTGCTGAGAATTGAACTCAGGACCTCTGGAAGAACAGCCAGTACTCTTAATCAATAAGCAATCCCTCCAGCCCCACCCTATAGATTATTAAATTTTATTTTTAAAGTTTATTTTGTGTGTTCATATCAGAGAACAACTTTTGGAAGTCAGTTGAGTTAGCTTTTGTTACGGTGTGAGGTCAAGATCCAGTTGCATGGTTTTCCAAGTGCATGTCCATATGTTCCAGTGTTAACTTGTTGGAGACACTTGTCTCTTCATTGACACCCTTGTGGGAAGTCATCTAACCATTAATGGCAGGATTTATTTCTGTGTTCTGTTTCTATTCTGCTGGTCTATCTTGTGCTTTTTGAAGACTATATTTTGATTACTGTAGCTTTGTAGAACTCTTTTGAATTGGAGACTCTTCTGACTTATTTATGCTTTTGTACCCTACTTTGGCCACTCAGGGTGCTTGGAAACATCTTCAGCCACATTTCCACCTCCAGCCTTTTTTTCATTTTGCTACTTATTTGGTGAGCCATGTGAGAGCAGCAACATTGGTCCAGTGAGCTTACTCACTGCTGAGTTTGTGTTCTAAGAATAAGGGTGTTCTGGGGCTGGGGCTGTAGCTTGGTTGGTACACTACTCACCTAACATGCACAAAGCCCCGGCACACAGTGCACACCAGTAACCCCAGCACTTGGTGCAATAAAAGTGGGAGTTCAAGGTCACACTAAGCTGCATATAGTTACAGGTTAGCCTGGACTGCCTGAGGCTGTCTCAAGGGGGTGGGGCAATATTCTTATAAGCCCATAGAGCCAGTGTCTCATTTCACACCATCCATCTGGTGTAATGAATCCAGGCGTGGATCCACTGGGTCCTACTTATAAGCAGCCTCTCCTGTATCTCCTTCACTCTAGAATAGTTCTCAGTGGTTTCCTCTCAGCTGATGTTGGCCATTTGAAGAGACCTGGGGAGTTATTTTGCAGGCTGGTCTGCTCCCTCTTATCGCTGGTGTCTGTTGTCCCTTTATGAGTTAAGGTCAAAAGCACTTCATGGGGGCATTGGAAATGGCTCCAGTAGAGGGAAGGTTATATTGCACAAGCCTGACTTTGATTCCCAGAATATATGGTAGAAGAAAGAACCAACTTCTGAAGTTTGTCCTTTGACTTCATGCTTCCCAGCACACACAGGTGCATTATATACAGGCATACACACACACACACACACACACACACACACACACACACACACACACACACAGAGAGAGAGAGAGAGAGAGAGAGAGAGAGAGAGAGAGAGACCAATTTTAAAACAGGTGCCATGGGATAACAGCACTGCCACATCACTCTGTTTTTCTTAGGGATACTGGCTTCATCCTTAAGTGTACTGGGCTCTTATTGAATAATTAACTAGAAAACATTGTTGTGATGGGCATGTAGTGCTTCCTGGCTGCTGGGCCATGTGAATGAACTTGCACTGTAGCTCCCTGGGTCCTTGCCCAACCACTAGCCCCGTATGAAACATAAGAGACAGGCTACATGGCTTGCTGGACAGGCTACATGGCTTGCTGTATCCTACTGAGGAGCTGTAGGTGGCACAGAAGTCTAGGTTGCATGGCTTCCATGGCCAAGGACACAATCATTGCCCCTGAGAGCAAAGGGCTAGCCCAAAGGGGACATGGGTATGTCCATTCTGACAGTCATAACTCAGAACGACACCAACAAATGTCCCTTTGGCAGGCCCAAGATTCCAGAGCCCCAATCCCTCATTATCCTTTAGTTGTCTGTGTCTTTCTAAGGATGCCTCTGTCCCTTCTTAAGGATGACTCTACCGGTTGGTTCCTATGGTGACAGAAGGCCTCTGGGGGCTCAGGCCTTCCCCTGGGAACATGTTTGTTATCCCCTGTAAGACACTGAGCTCCCGATGACCCTGGCAGTGTCCCTGCAGGACAGTCATCCTTTACCTCTTCTTCACGGAGAATAGGCAGGCAGAGCACCCCACAGCACTTAAAATGTTTACAAGGTACCCCAAAAGGATGTGGGAGCAAGGACACATTAAGCCAAGCCAATCACTAGGGCACCACCGCTTAAATCAGCATCCCCCTCTCTCTTGCAGATGAAGATGTGTGCGTGTTCAAGTGCTCCGTGTCTCGAGAGACAGAGTGCAGCCGAGTGGGCAGGCAGTCCTTCATCATCACACTGGGCTGCAACAGTGTCCTCATCCAGTTCGCCACACCCCATGGTATGTGTTTGGTTCCATGGTGGAGCCTGGGAGATGGAAAAATGGTCAGTTAATAGAAGTATTTGCCACACAAGTGTGAAGACCTGAGTTCAGTCCTTAGCACCATATGAAAAGTTAGACTTGGCAGCATGAGCTTGTTCTCCCTAAATGGAGAGGGATGGAGACAGGCATATCACTGCAGCTCACACTGGCTGGCCAGCCTTGCCTCATCAGAGCTCCAGGCTAGAGAGACACTGCCTCAAAAAACAAGGTAGACGATTCCTAAGGAATGACACCCAAAGCTGACCACTTGTCTCCACATCTATGTGTGCAGGTACCACCACCACACACATAATGTGCACTTGCATATGCTGAATGCCTTGGTGTACACCTAATAGTGCTTGTAGTCCCAGCTTCTGAGGAGGCTGAGGCAGAGGAAGGATCCCTACTTAAAGATATGAGTAGAAGTTATAGTGTTAGCTGGCTAGTGGGGTATGGTGGTCCATTGACTCAGCTTCCCAGAAGGCTAGAACATGAGGATCATTTCAGCACAAGAGTTTGAAAGAACCTGAGCAGCCAGTGTAGCAAGAGCCTTGCTCCAAAAGAAGAAAAGAACCAGCCCCAAGAAGAAACACAGTCTTAGTAAGAATGTATTCTTGGTGTTAAACAAGTGCCCTGTCCTGGCACCTCACTGGCTGCTGTGGATCCTCTGGGTCTCAGTTCTTTGTCCTTTCCTCCAAAAGTGCCATCCTGACTCTTGTCATATCTAAGTCTCTCAGAGAGCTAGTTGGGTTAGGCCTAAGGCCAGCATTTTCAGGTTTGTGTAGGACCCTAGGAGATGGAGCCTATAGGTGGGCCAATGCTTCACTCTCATTAGAGAAGCTCCTGGAGGCTCTGCCAGAACTGTCATTAGATATGATAGGGACTTGTAAGATTGTTGAGGAGGGATTATAGAAACCGGGTGAGGAAAGCTAGGAACCTTTGGGATTTGGAAGTATTGGCAAGACCTGTGAATGTCCTGTGACAGGACTTGGTCAATGGAGTTCCTGGATGAGTCTGGTGGCTGGTGCAGGGGAGGGGCCTACTGGCTACCCAGAGCCCTTTACTGTCTCCCCAGAAGGTGCCTCTAGTAGAGATGTTGCTATGTGGAGCCCTGTGTCACCTGCACAAGCATCCTCAGGCCTCCTTCCCTTCTGTGTGTAGGAAGTATCGGGAGTGCAAAGTCTGCCTCATCTATGTTGCAAGTCTGAGGAGGAACTGGGGCTACATGAGACACTGTCCCAAAAAATTGAAAAGAATTTGAGGGAGGGACTAAGGTGTAGCTCAGTGGGTGAGCCCTTGTCTGACATGAAGTCCTAGCCCCATCTACAGTCCCAGCACTCAGGAGCTGGAGGCAGGAAGACCAGGAGTTCAAGGCAAGCCTGAGCTACATGTCTGTTTCAAAAAAAAAAAATCCTTTTGTTGACACAGAATTCTTTTACATGTGTGGCCTCAGCTAAATAAACACTCAGTTCTACATGCACAGGCAGTATAGCTCATAGAAGGGTCACTCAGGGGCACTTCAGCCAATTGAGGAACATCTTGGAATGTAATTCTAATGGAGAAGCGTCTGCTGGAATCCAGATTTGTTTAATTTTTGTGCATGTGTGCATGTAGGTCTGCTTGTGGAGAGAGCTCCATATGTATTGTTTATCACCTTTTACCTTGTTTGAGATGTAATCTCTAACTGTTCACTGCTGAGCACACCAGGCAAGCTGAGCCACAAGTTTCTGGGAAGTTTTTTATCTCCACATTTAGAATAAGAGACATAACTCTACTACATCAGCTTTTATGTGGGTTTTGGGGATGTGAACTCAGGTCTTCATCCTTATGTGGCAGACAATTTACCCACTGAACAATCTTCCCAGTCCCCAAAGTCATTGTTAAAAAAGCAATGTTAGGGACTGGAGAGATAATTTAGCAAATGAAGATTTGCTGCACAGTCTGATCTGAGTTCAATCCCTGGAAACCACACAAAGATGGAAAGAGAGCACCAACTCCACAGAGTTCCTCTGACCTCTATATTCATGCCATGGCGTGTGCTTCTACACACATAATATGCACAGTAATAAGAAGCAAAGATTTTAGTTTTGGGGTTTTGTTGTTTTTAGAAACAGGGTTTCTCTATGTAACTCTTGCTGTCCTGGATCTTGCTGTATAGACAAGCCTGACCTCGAACTCACAGAGATCTGTCTCCTGAGTGCTGGGTGGGATTAAAGGGATGTACTACCACCCAGCTAAAGATATGTTGGAAATACTACCACCAGAGATTAGCATCCATGTTAGAATATAAGTCTGGAGACAGGAGCAGGAGAAATGGCTAAGCACTGGCTCTATTCCCAGTACAGCCGCTCAGAACTGTCTGCAACTCCAGTTTGAGGAAACCCCTTCTGACTTCTATGTGCACCAGGCATGCAAGTGATGCAAATACATGTATGTAGGCAAAACACCCATACACATAAATTGCTAGAGAGGGATGTATGGAGAGATGGTTCAGTGGTCAGGACCCAAGTTCAGTTCCCATTGCCCACATATCAGCTTACACCTGTCTGTTATTCCCAGGGTATCCAAAGCCTTCTCAGGAACTCCTCAAGTGTTACAGACATATACATGCAGGCAAAATACCCATAGTAATAACACATCCTGGAGATGATGTGGTTTAGGGTAGTTCAGTCTTAGGGAGTTGTAGTAGGATTTTTATTTGGGCCACCAGCTCACAAAATAGTGAAACAGAGATTATTAATTATGAACACCCAGCCTTAGCTTAAGCTTGTTCTGCCCTTAAAACTTTAATTAACCCATTTATTTTAATCTATACACGGTCATGTGTCTTTTTACCTCATCTCTCTGTACTGTTACCTTATCACTCTGTACTGCCCATGATGCTTCCTTGGTGTCTGGCTGGCAATTCTACCTTCTTCCCTGAGTATTCTCTCTGCCAGGAAGTCTTGCTATTGGCCAGTCAGCTCTTTTTTGTTGTTGTTTTGGTTTGGTTTGGTTTTTTTTCAAGATAGGATTTCTTTGTGTAGCCCTGGCTGTCCTGGAACTAGCCCCATAGACCAGGCTGGCCTCAAACTCACAGAGACCTGCCTGTTTACCTGTAGAGTGTTGGGATTCAGGGTGTGTGCCAGTAGCACCTAGCCTCCTGGCTAGCTTTTAATTAGTTATTAGTTAACTGGCATGTATCTGTTATATGATGTATATAAATGTATGTGTTTGTATATATGGGAGTACACACATTAAGATACATATGCATGTATGTGCATGTGCATAGGAGTATGGGGCCCAGAAGCTCTTCACCTCATTTACTGAGAGACGGCCTCTCTCACTTGAGCCCAGAGCTCCTCAGCTGTGCTGGGCAGGCTAGCCAGTGTGCTCCAAGGATTCCCAACCTCATCTATTGTGCACTGGGATTAGAGATCTGAACTCTACTTCTGACAGTTGTCTAGCAAGGATTTTATCTATTGAGTAGTTTTCCAATGCTATTTTAATTTTTTTCTTAATGAGTTTTGTTCTTTGAAAATGTCACACATTCATACAATGTATTTTTACATATTACCCCCTAATTCCTCCCTGATCTCTCCCTCATCCCACTGCCTCCTCCCTTTATTTTTTCTTCAGTATTTATAATCCACCCAGTCCAATTGTGCTGTAGGGCCATCCACCAGAGCATGGTCTACCCATCAGGATCATATACACACCCTTAGAGAAAACTGGCTCCCCCCCCCCCCACCTCCAGCAGCTATCAGTTGTTTATAGTTCCTCAACTAGGAGTGGGGCTACTGATCCCCTCTCTGCTTTCTGCCTTCTAAGTAACTTCTATGTGAGTCAGTTTAAAGAACTTCATAGCTGACACTCCCTCCATGTTCTTTTTGGTCCATAGGACTCAGCTGCTCTTAAACATTGAGTTGGTGTGCTTGTGTCCAGTGCCCCCCCAGAAGCTACTGTGAGCTCCAGGTGGATGTGAGGCTGTTTGCTCCCCACACTTCCAGGCTGTTGTCTGGGAGAAATGCCCAGGCCTGTCCTCACCACATGCCACTCATGTCTGTCAGAGTGGCAGTCTTGGCTGCTCTTTTCCTTTCCTTCTCAATCGGAACATATTAGGGAAAAAGAAATCACCAGTTCCCATGTGTCCAAGGTAGACAAGTCAGGATAGATAGGTATAGCAAATGCCTAGGCCCTCTGGACTCTCCCAGATGGCCCCTGAATGATCTGGCTCCACCTTTCCAGATTTCTGTTCTTTCTACAACATCTTGAAAACCTGCCGAGGCCACACACTGGAACGCTCTGTGTTCAGTGAGCGAACAGAGGAATCCTCAGCTGTGCAGTACTTCCAGGTGAGTTAGCACCTATCCTGGACCAGACAACCACCTGGTGTTTCCCTGCCCTATTTTCCCACATGGGTGCTCATCTTGGCTCTGTCCCTTACTAGCTGTGTACTTCAGCAGGTGTTCACCACTTGCTAGGTCTCAGTTTCCTCATCTGTGAAGCCTAAGCCCATAGGTGTTTAATGACTGACTATAGCAATGTTCTAAAACTTTGGTGAGTGTAAGGAACTGTGTAAGCAATCTTACATGTCCGGAAGCACTTGGACTTTCCCAACAACTGTTATTGTCCCCATTTTACAGATGAGAAAACTGAGGCTCAGAGAGGTTAAGTGACTTTGCTCCAAGTCACACAGCTCTTATGCAACAGAGCCACGATGGGAAAGCCAGGTCTGCCTGATGCCCAAGCCTGTGGCCCTGCCAGGTGCCACCCTGCCTCCTTCCTGATCGCCTGCTGTTGTCTTACAGAGAGACACCGCACATCACCTGCCTGGCGCTCTGAGCTTTAGGGTTTTGTTCCATCCATTCCTTTTCTTCTTTGGGGCCCTAAGATGGGACAGTTGGCCCCCAGATGTTAGAACCCCATCCACAATAAATTTTATGATCTCTTGGGTGGCCTTAATAGAAGTGCCCCTCTTGGGGACTGCTCCTCAGAACCCTGCTTCCACTTCTGAAGCAGCTGGCTCTTGTTGGTTGGGTTCAGGCTGGAAGAGGGTACATGACCTCCCAAAGGAGGTTCATGCTGTCAGGCCCGCCTTCCATCTTAGGGCAGCCGGGGCTGTGGCAGCCTGTGATGCCATGTGCCGTGTGCCAATGCTTGTGTCTCTGTTCCAGTTTTATGGCTACTTGTCCCAGCAGCAGAACATGATGCAAGACTACGTGCGGACAGGCACTTACCAGCGCGCCATTCTGCAGAACCACACCGACTTTAAGGACAAGGTAAGCTATCAGTACAGGAAGGGTGCTGAACGGAGGCTCTGAGGGCCCCCCCCCACCTTCCTCCAGTTCTGTTGCCTCCTGTTTATTGCTTATTCTGAGTCAGCCCTCCATTTCTTTTAAAATTATGTTCACTTTTCGACTTCTTATAGAGAACATTCTGCCTCTTTCTAACATGTCTTTGGTCATACTGTTTTGCCTCGGCTGCATATAGAATGGGATATACTGAACAAACAATGCCAGCACTTAGGAAGTGTTGCTAAGGGGATTATCAACTATAGAATTGGGAGTGCTTACCTAGCATGACCAACTTCCATTCTGTCATTGCAGGAAAATAAAACATAAAACAGCTTAGATATGGAAGTTGATGTTTAGATGTGTGTGTTAACAAAACAATGAGTAAGCTGGGTATGGCAGCATGCACTTTTGATCTAGGCAGAGGCAGGCATATCTCTAAATTGGAAATCATCCAGGGCTATACAGTGAGTCCCTTTCTGGAGAAAAAAAAGCTGAGAATAATGAAGCCACACCTTCTAGTTGCGCAGATGGCTTCTGTGGGGAGCAGTTGAGTTCTGTAGTAGTAGTGGACCTCAGTTGAGCCTTCTCTCATCCATTGCAGTTCTAATTTCATCTACCTGGAACAAGGGAGGAGCCCCAACCATCAACTTTAAATTTCAAGGGCCAGCCCCAACTGCCTCTCTCAGATCTTCTGACAGATGGCTCCAAGTTGGGGTGCCCACAACAGCTTTTTACCCTTGTAGTGCATAGACCTCAGAGAAGCATGCTTGCCATCTTATCACTGTGGATTCCAAGGGATAGGATGAAGTCTCGGGACAATACTAGAGGGAATGGCCTCCATGCTTTCTGGAGCTTCTAGCTCCCCACTGTGCCCATCTGACTAAACTCAGAACCCAGGCCTTTTCTGACACTATTGCTGATGGTGTGCTAATTGGCTTGGTGAGAAAATCGAGCAGGACCTATCCACATGTTCTTGGCCTTTTTAACTAACACCCCTCCTCCAAGCACAGGGTAGGACCCTTTTGAAGTCTCTTTGTGTGTGGAACGGATATAATAAGACAATGCCTACTGTGTTGTTCAAAGTACATTCAGGCTCACTCTTCCTGCCTCAGCTTCCTGGGGGCCTGCCTTTCTGCCATCACCCCACTCCCCATACTTTTACTGCTGTTCAGTCCAGGTGAGTGGTGCATTCTTGTAGTCTCAACACTTGAGATGCTGATGCAACAAGAAGTCAGAAGGACAAGGCCATCCTGGGCTATGTGAGACTCAAACAAAATGGGTGTGTGGGGGGGTGGGTATATGGCTGTTGTCAGTGCATGTACTTTCTTCTCAGTGTTGTGTAGTCAACAATAATGATCAACTAGGCTTTCTGTTAGATGATTTTGCCCAGCTGTGGGGGAGATAGGAGTTCTGAGCATGTGTCTGGCCAGCCAGGCAAGGCTGAGATGTTTGGTGGGTCAGGCACATCAAATTGCCTCACAAGGATATGATGCCATTGTGAAAGGAGGCATATCTCCATGGTTCCTTTTTTTCCTCCCTTCTTGATCTTTTTTATGGTAGAGAGGAGTGAATTGAGTCAAGGTTGTCTGAGGTAGCCCAGGCTTGCCTTGAACTTATTTCCACTTGCCAAGTGCTTGAATTACAGATATTCTACACCATGTCCCATTTAGGGCCTCTATGTTCAGCACAGGAAACAGCCTCACTTCTCATCCTATGGCCCAGGATTTGTTTAGCCTTTTGCAGCAGTTGAGAACTTGTGTTTCTGTTTGTTGTGCTTTTTGAGACTACCTCTCACTATGAGCTCAAGCTATCCTTTAACTGATCCTCCTGTGTAAGTCCACCCAGCACTGAGAGCATGATGTGTACCCCTACACATGGCTTCTGATCAGCAAAAGTTGCAGAGGTCTTCACTGTGGATCTGTGTAAATTTACCTCACCTGGGGCCTTGGTTGTGTTTCACCCCAGGTTGTTAGGCTCTAGAGAGGACTTACCTTAAACATTCTTACTGGCCTGAGCCCAGGCAGTGCTTGGGGCCTTCAAAGCACATACTCTTTTTATGGCACTCTGGCTCTCCCAGGGCCTGGTCCCATTTCCACTTTCATCCAGGGCTTAAGAAGAACCCACAGTCCTAGCAGCAGTGCTACCTCTGTTCCTACCACTGTACCTGGGCCATTTCTCCTTAGAAAGCCCACACACACCATGCCAGAAACATCTGTCCTTCTGCTTAGGCGGAAACAACCCATACATCCAGAACATGCAGCATTCTCCCAAGTTTCTGCCACTTTCAGCTGACCCTCAGTTTGGGCCACTCACCTGCCCCATCCAAAACTGCTTCTGGGGATAGAGTTAGCATCAACACAGGCCTTTACCCCACATGCTCCAGCCACTCAGGCTGTAAGGTTGAGATTGAGCAACAAACCAGGGCTCTTCTTCCCAGAAGCCTGGCTCTATTTTCATGTTGTCCCCCAACCCTTAGGCGACAGCTCCTGAGAATGAGGACCTGCCTGGCTGTTAAACCTTATGATAATTTTCTCAGCAGGTGGTGGGCAAGGACATTTCTTTCAACATCTCTGGTTTTCACCTCTTTGCTCTTCCCAGATCAGCCTTTCTGATAGGATCTCACTATGTAGTCTAGACTGACCTTGAATTCATGGCCCTCCTGCCCCAGCCTTCTCAATAGTGGGATTGTAGGCATTTGCCACTATACTTTTTATTTTGTTTTGTTGTATGTGTATGAGCATTTGTCTGTGTGTATGTGTACCAACGTGCCCGTGGAGACCAGAAAAGGGCATCAGATCTCCTTGAACTGGAGTTACAGGTGGTTGTGAATTGCAATGTGGATGCCAGTAATTACACCTGGCTCCTCTAGAAAGAGTATTTATCTCTCCAACCCCCTGAAAACAATTCTGCCGTTATTTATATTCTTTGTATGGTTGGCACATCTGTGGCCTCATACACACATCATTTCCTCAGATTGTTCTCGACGTGGGCTGTGGCTCTGGGATCCTGTCATTTTTTGCTGCTCAAGCAGGAGCCAGGAAAATTTATGCAGTGGAGGCCAGCACCATGGCTCAGCATGCCGAGGTCAGTGTCCTGTTGGAGCCTAAGCTCTTCTCCTCATGTCCTTCATCTCTGTGCCCACTGAGATCCCCAAGGTGCCTGGGGATATCACTGCTGTTCTTTGTCTCTAGAACGAAGTGGTAATTGGCAGGAAAGGGGAGGCCCACTAGGCCTGTGGTGGCAAAGCCACAGTGACTAACCAGGTATCCACAAGGATGCACTCTTATGCCGTAGGGGCAGAGTGGCAAAGACACAGCCCTTATCATAGGAATTCTAAGTCATATGCCTGAACTGTCCTGAGTAATAGCTTGTGTGAGCTCCATACATCCTATGCAGGTGTCTGGTACCAGATATTGTGGAAAAATAAGGACCGAGCAGATGTTTATTCAGGGATAAATAACTGACAACAGAGATCCATGAATGCCAGCAGGTTCCTGATCCCAAGGATGCCTCCAGATGCTCTCTGTCTCCGTCCAGCAAGCAAGAGAGCGCTCCTGGGGTCCCTACCTCAGACCTAGTTCCCCCCAGGTCGTGTCCACACCTGTCCCCACCCCCAATGGGCATGGTCAGTGCAGCAGGTGTGGACAGAGTGAATATCTCACTCTGACAACAGGTGACAACAGGATTTCGTTTTGCCACATCCTTGGTGCCCCGCCCCAACTTTTTTTTAATAGAAAACTTAATTTTCAAGTTTAGAATTGAAAGTATACAGAAGAGTAGATACTGTGACTCGGGTCCTTTACCAGAGAGAGTCCCCTAGGTACTTTCAGACTGTTCTATAGATACATCCATGAGCTTTGCTCCCTCTCCCACAGCCTATGTCTCGTACAAACAGGGGCACTGCCAGATTGCACCTGGATGTTCCCTAGCTGCAGATCTGGAACTATGAGCCTTAATGCTCAGAGTTTCCATGCTAATTCAGTGTGACCAACAGCCTCTTCTCACAACATGTGAGCCCCTTGATACACATCCCTTCCATAAGGCCCTCTATGTATGTGAAAGACAACTTGCCAGGATTGGGCTCTAGCTCTGGTAAGCACTTCCCCCAGGGGCAGAGACATTGGTGTCTTAGAAAGCTGGGCTATAGGACTCTTCCCCCATGGTTAGGATGTCCACAGGGAAAGCAGAGAGGGCGACTCATGCCAGGTATGAGCAGACACCATTCATGAGCTGAGGCGTTGAGGACCTATGCCAAGCAAGCACAGGGAGTCTTCTTCCACCTCCTACAGGTCCTGGTGAAGAGTAACAACCTGACAGACCGCATTGTGGTCATCCCTGGCAAGGTAGAAGAGGTCTCATTGCCTGAGCAAGTGGACATTATCATCTCAGAGCCCATGGGCTACATGCTCTTCAATGAACGCATGCTCGAGAGCTACCTCCATGCCAAAAAGTACCTGAAGCCCAGCGGTGAGTGTCCTATGCTCAGGAGCAGTGTGGCTGCTGCTGAGCCTTTCAACCAGAGTAGTTGGCCCTCTGGGCAAGCCCACTGCTGCCAGCAGCCTATAGGGTGGCTACTTGTCTGTTGTGTGTCAGTGATCTGCATATCCTACACTAACCCTATCTATTGGCTATGGCTTCTGGATGGATCCTCAGACCCCAAACAAGAGGGCCACTCACCCTACCAGGCATTGGCAAGCCCCCTGTAGACCCACAGAGAGCATTTGGTACCTCTTGTGCATGTTTGCCACAGAGGCACCCCTAATAAGATGAGATGGGAGTCCAGGGAAGGGCTAGAACTTAGTTCTATCACTGGTGGTCTCCCAAGAGTCTCCCCAAACTGGAAACCTTGCCCAGGGCAATGTGGCCCGCCTACTCCCCTAAGAGCTAGGAAGTGGGTAGGTGGAAATGTGTACATGCCTAAAGATGCAAGTGATACATGTATGTAATGATATATGGGAATATATATAGGTGTGTGGATGAGAATGTACATATGTGTCTCTGTGTGGTATTCACATAAACATACAGGTTTATGAGTGTGTTCTTGTGAAGTCATTCTTGTGAAGGTGTGTGGATGGTGAGGGTCTTTCTATGGGTTATGTGATGGTTTATAGGTATTTAAGGATATGTGTGTTGACATGTTAGAGTGTGGGGGTGGTAAATGTGTGTATGAAGGTGGGGGATCTGATGGTAAATGGGCAAGTAGGTGTGTACCTGTGTGTAGATGTATGTACATGTATAAGGGCATGTGAATATATGTCATTTCCTGTGCCTATTCCTAGCTAACTCCTGTACCTCTGGTTGAGTGCCTGCACCAAGTGTCAGGTTGACACTTGCCAATCTGTACTGGGATCTGTACTCTGCTCTGAGCACAGTAGTGCAGCCCATTTCTCTGATGAGTTCTGGGGATGTGTCTGTGTCTGAATGGTTTATTAAAGGCACAGGTGTGTATGTATTGGTGATAGCTCAGGGACCTTGGTCTAGCAGTAGCCTCAGATAGTGATTAGCAATCAAGCAGATACTGCTAGCAGCCTTGGTGAATGTATGGCTCCCATGATGCCTCTGCTCAGTTCCTATAGGCAGGAGGTAGCCACAGTTCTCCTTGTGCATAAGTGTGGGACGCCCAGCAGCTGCCTTGGGTCTTCCTTTTCTCCCCTCTGGCCCTATTGGTGGCTAAGCTTGTGCATCGAAGTGGCTGGCCCTTATGTGAAACCAGGCAGGAGTCAGTCTGGAGATTGCCTATGAGGTGGTTTTTTAACCCCTCAGAACCCCCTTTGAGAATTCAAGGCAGCCTTCTAACCTGCAGGAGCCTGCCTCTGTCATCATCTTCTAACCTAGTATGAATTGGGAGGGATGACTCAGGACCTCCCCAACTCCCTGAAGAGCTGGAGGGAGGCCTACATCTTCTGGCCATGTGTTCATCCTATGCAATCTCAGCCTCTCCATATTTGCTTCTCACTGCTGCCAACCTAGCCCTATTTTTCTTATTCATGAGCCTCAGAGAAGGACCCTCTATTTCTATTTCAGTCACATGCCATGCCTGGTATTTGGACACCCCTGACTCAGTGATGTAACTTAACCCCCAAACAGTCTAGGGTTTCGTCTCGCTCTGTCCAGAGCAGTCCAGGCACACTGTACACCAGGAGGCTCTAATAGGCCCCTTATTGCTTCCCACCTAGCATTGGGACATGGGAATAGGGCCATTCACTTTTTGGGATGGATGAGAGCAAATGTGCCGATGAGCATGGGAACTTGTAGTGAACAAATTGATCCTAGTGAACTGATCCAAGTGCCTTGGCTTTGCATAGGGAAATTTTGAACTGATGTGTGAATTATGGTAGAAAATCAAAATCACCAAAGGAAAAAAAGCCTCTGAGCTGGGCGGTAGTGGCACACACCTTTAGTCCCAGCACTGGGGAGAGAGTTTAAGGCTAGCCTGAACTACAGATGCAATACCAGGAAGCCAGGGCTACCCAGAGAAATCCTGTCTCAAAAACAAAAACAAAAAACAAAAACAAAAGGAAGGAAGGAAGGAAAGAGCCTCTGTCCTATCAGAATTATGTTAGATATGGTGGTATGCTCATAAGATCCCAGCATCTGGGAGCATGAGGCAGCAAGACCCCATCTCAAAAAGACAAGCTAGGGTGATGGTATACATCTGTAATTCCAACACATAAGTAGAGGCTGAGTTGGGAGTTTAAGGCCTGCCTGGGCTGAATGAGAGCCTATCTTCCTTACTTTTCACCTTACCACCCCCCAAAAAAATAACAAAACAGACTTATGTCTGAGAGTCACTGGGTTCCATTTCCAGGGACCATGGACAAAAGGTGCTGCACACTGTAGGAAGGAAGGGAGGAAGGATGGATGGTCGGATAGATGGATGGTTGGGTGGATGGATGGTCAGATGGTCCACGATTGGGGATCGTAGGGTCCTCTGGAAGCTCTACCCAGTTACAGGATGTGCTGCCCTGACAACAGCACTCCTCCATGCCCCCCCACTCCCAGGAAACATGTTCCCCACCATTGGTGACGTCCACCTCGCACCCTTCACCGATGAACAGCTCTACATGGAGCAGTTCACCAAAGCCAACTTCTGGTGAGTGTGCCCTGGGTGTCCCGGCCAGGCCACGGGGCCTGCCTGCTCGGGGATGGACCCAGTCCTCAGGTGGGCCCTTGACTCCTCTTTTTTTCTCCTCCTGCTCAGTAGGATCTGAAGGACATGGGCTAGTTGAGGGCCAGCTAAGAAAGAAAGTAGGTGACCCCACCTGCTTCTCTTTCTGCTGGTGACATCAGGGTGGGGCTGGGAATTTCCACAGGTACCAGCCATCCTTCCATGGAGTAGATCTGTCGGCCCTCCGCGGTGCTGCTGTGGATGAATACTTCCGGCAACCTGTGGTGGTAAGTAGTGTAGAGGGGCACTGCTGGACTGAGGTTAGGGTTTCACCAAGGCTTCACACAAGCTCTGGAATCCAGAAACCTCTACTTCTCTCACCCCTCACTTTCTGCAAAGCACACACACCAGCAGGTGGCTTTGTGGCAAACTTGTTTGGCTGATCATGTAAAGCCATGGATTCAGTAATGAAGAATCTAAGGAGGCATGGTGGGCCATGCCTGTAACCCTGCATGCAGGTGGAGGCATGGGGGTCAGGAGATCCAAGCTGGCCTGGGGTCTGTCTAAAAAATTAAAGGTATGGAGAGACAGCTAAGCAGTTACAAACACCATATCAGAAGACTTACAATGACTTGTAGCTTCAAGTCCAGAGGCCTCTAAGAGCACCTGCACTCAAGTGAACATACAGAGAGGCAGAGATTAAGGAAAGACCTGGGTTCAATTCCCAGCACCCACATGGCAGCTCACAACCATCCATAATGGGGTACCAGACACTGCAGTAAACAAACTTAGGTCCAGATAAAACACTCATACACATTAAAAAAAAAAAAATTAATTTTTTTTACATGGGTAGGTGTCTTGCCTACATTTATTTCTGTGCTACATGTGTGCGTTGCCCACAGAGGATCTAATAAAAATAAAATTTTAAAAAGACATTAAATGAGTAAATGCTTCTCCATAAGATTTTTAAATGCTTGAATAGTATTTTATTTATTTGAAACAGACTCTCAGTATGTACACTGGCTGGCCTGGGATTAAGTCTTAAACAGAGCAGTGGTGGTGCACACCTTTAATCCCAGCACTAGGGAGGCAGAGACTGGCAGATCTCTGAATTCCAGGCCAGTCTGGTCTACAAAGCTACACGGAGAAACTCTGCCTTGAAAAACCCAGTCTATACAGTGAATTCCAGGGCAGCCAGGATTACATAGTGAGAGCCTGTCTCAAAAAAAAAAAAAAAGTCAGTCATTGCTTACATAGTACAGCCTTATATCCATGTCAGTCAGTTAGGAAATCATCTTGGCAATGTCTCATTACTTTCCTTATGACAGGGTCTCACTATGAAGAGCCCAGTTGTCCTTGAAATCATAAAGACCCTTTCAAGCGCTGGGATTAAAGCATGTCCCAGGCCAGATCTCACTATTTGTTGTCCTTTTGTCCTAATGTGTAACTAATTGTGATTCCTGTTTACTAAGTACTTGGGTGGGATGGGATTTTTTTGGGTTTGTTTTTTGGTTTTTTTGTTTGTTTTATTGGGGAGGCATTATTTTGATTGGGATTTTTTTCCCCAATTCAGCTTGAGTTTTTGCTTTATGTAGTTTGAAAGTGTGTTATTAAGTGCCTATATGTCTAGAATTATTATAACATCTTGTTGGATTAACCCTCTTGTTAAGAGTAGTTTTATCCCTGCCGGTCTGGTCCCAAGCCGTGCCAGCCCCAAATAATACACTGAGACATTGTATTTGATATAATGCTGTTGGCCAGTTACTAGTTTCTTAGCGGCTAGCTCTGTCTTAAGTATTAACCATTTCTACTAATCTAAGTGTTTCCATGTGGTCTCATCTTACCTTAGAGAGGGCCCAGGTGTCTGTTCTTTCAAGTCTCTACCTGCTGACTCCTTACTACTTCCTCTCTCCTCCTATCTTGCTTTCCTATAGGCCAACAGTGCTTTATTTATTAACCAATAAGAGAAACATATTTACAGAGTGACATCTCCCATCATCCTCTTGTCATTATGAAATCTTTATATTACCCTTTGCCTTGAAATTTTAAAGTCTGTTTTTACCTAATAATAGTGTAAGGGACACTTTCTTCCAGTTGTGTCTTTTTCTATTCTACTTTAAACCTGTTGTGGTTTTACTACTTAAGGTGTGTGTATGTGTGTGTGTGTTTGTTTTTTTTTTCTGTTTGTTTGTTTGTTTTTGTTTTTTTGAGACAGGGTTTCTCTGTGTAGCCCTGGCTATCCCAGAACTCAGGCTGACCTCAAACACAAATCACCTGCCTCTGTCTCCTGAGTGTATGGATTAAAGGCGTGGGCTACCACCACCTCCTGGAATTTATAATTTTGATGAGCACAAAATATTTTATCTTTTAATTCCAGTGCTTAGTCTGCTTACACTTTATGTACTTAATTACTGGTCTCCCCAACCTTTAATGTCTTTTTCTTTCAGTAGTCTGGTGCCTCTTGAACAGTGTCTCTCTTAATGAGATTCTGTCTCTTTTGGTATCTGGTTGTGTGTAATCAGTCACTTCCTGTCTAATGGACCTTTCCTGTCCATTAGAAACTATCGTACTTCATGGTGCACACTGGCCTCAAGTTGCCCTTATAGGTCTGTGTCACCACATCTGGCAGATGACTCTAAGACTCTGCTAGTCTTCCATTTGTTCTGCATTTTAATATTTTCTAGTGCTCCTGAATTTTTTTTTTTTTTTTTTTTTTTTTTTTTTTTTTGAACTTTTGACCTGGAACTCATTATATAGCCCAGGCTGGTTTAAACTTACAATCTATTCACCTCAGCCTTCCAGTGCTGAATGTATGGGCATGTGCCACTAAGGCTCAATTCACCTTTTTGTGTTTGTTTGAGACAGGGTCTCTTTACACAGCTCTGGCTGATCTGGAAGTCACTAACTATGTAGATCAGACTGGCCTTGAACTCACAGAGATCCACCTGTGCAGGGATTAAAGGTGTACACCACCAATGCCCAGCCCACCAGCCAGCCTCTTGAGCCTCCCCCTCATTCTTTCTGATATACTTGGTTGTCTACGGAGGACCCAATCATAGTTTAGTTAAATAATGACCCCCCCCCAGAAAAACAAAACAAAAACCCTAAATAGGCATGGTGGCACATGTGGTGGATAGCCTTGGGTCTCCTTAGAAATGCTATTCACCTTTGAGACAAGGCCTTTAATTGGCCTGGGTAAACCTAGGTCTTTGTGTATGCTGTTCATGTGCTTGTTTCACTCAATTATACAATGAGCTCTGTATTTCTTTCTTAAGAATATTATATAGGCTGGGTATGGTGGCACATGACTTTAATCCAGGTGGATTTCTGAGTTCTAGACAAGTCTGGTCTATATAGTGAGACCCTATCTCAAAAAAAAAAAAAAAAAAAAAAAAAAAAAAACAAAGCCAGACATGGTAGTTCATGTCTTTAAGCCTAGTATTTGGGAGGCAGATACAAGAGGATCTCTGTGAGTTTGAGGCCAGCCTGGTCTATAGAGCAAGTTGTAGACAACCAGAACTGTTACACTGAGAAACCCACTCACCATATTACTTGTCCCCATATATGTATGTCTATAGGTTAAATTTAAGAAAGTGCCAGGGGGTACTGGAGAGCTGGCTCAGCAGTTAAGAGCACTGGCTACTCTTCCAGAGGACCCAGGTTCAATTCTAGCACCCACATGCCTGCTCATAGCTGTCTGTAACTCCTGTTCCAGGGAATCTGACACCCTTACACAGACATATATGTAGGCAAAACATCAATGTAAATAAAATACAAATAATTTTTTTTAAGTGCTGGTGTTGTGGGGTTTCTGGGTTTTGTTTCTTTTTGTTTTGTTACTTGAGATAGGGTTCTCTGTGTAGTTCTGGCTGTCCTGAAACTCACTCTGAGACCAGGCTTGGCTTGAACTCACAGAGATCTGCCTGCTTTAGCCTGGGAGATTAAAGTAGCATGCACCACCCACCACCATCACCATCCACCTTTGATTTGGAGACAGGGTCTCACTGTGTGGATCTGATTGGCCTGGAACTCACTATGTAGACAGGGCTGGCTTTGAACTTGAAGAGATTGCCTTTTGAGGGGTGTAGTCCAATTGTTGTCCCTGGTATCATGCCTAGCAAGTCTGAGAAGGGCAAGCTGGTTTTAGATAGATAGCAGAGGTTAGTGCCATGGTCAGGCCTGGAGGATGAGGGAGCATTGAGGCTCTCCCTTTCCATGGCATTTGCAGCTCAAGCTGGGTCACACCTGTCATCTTTCAGGACACATTTGACATCCGGATCCTGATGGCCAAATCTGTCAAGTACACAGTGAACTTCTTAGAAGCCAAAGAAGGAGATTTGCACAGGTACCCTTTATCCCCTGGGCATCCATGGCCACTGCTACCCACTCCAGCCACTAAACCCCTACCCCTGCACTTCTCAGTCATGTATCCATCACGTCATGGCCAGCTGCTGTCTTCCCAGCTACCCCTCCTACTCTCCTTAAAGTCAGGTTGGGCTTTTACAACAAGCCCATGCCCTTTGCCTTGCAGGATAGAAATCCCATTCAAGTTCCACATGCTGCATTCAGGGCTGGTCCATGGCTTGGCGTTCTGGTTTGATGTTGCTTTTATTGGCTCCATGTAAGTATGGGACTTTAGGAGCTCTTTGCAGCTATGGCCTTCAGGCCTGGCAGTGTACTAACTCCTCAGGTGGTTCTTTCTATCCAAAACCCAGGGAGAATCATGGGGTTGGGGGGGTTGGTTGTTTTGGCTCAAAAACTACTCTGAATGCCTGTCCCTTTTATGTGTACATGAGTGTCGGGTGAATAGGCATCCCATGGCTGTGGATTGGCAGTGAACATTTGCCTGAACCTCCCTGGAGTCCAGCCAGTCTTACCCTGAGACCCCAGGGGACCATTCAGGGAAAGACCTTGGGGTGACACTAAGGTATGTGGGGTAGTGGCACAAGTGGTGGTGCCACCCCAGTAAAGTACACCCATTTCTTCTTGACAGAATGACCGTGTGGCTATCCACAGCCCCAACAGAGCCTCTGACCCACTGGTACCAGGTCCGGTGCCTCTTCCAGTCACCGTTATTTGCCAAGGCTGGGGACACACTTTCAGGGACATGTCTGCTTATTGCCAACAAAAGGTGCGCCTTGACACCCATCAGGGGCTAGATAGGGCAGCAGCATAGGAGTCCACCAACCCAGCTGCCTCACAACCACATCTCTATCTCCCCAGACAGAGCTATGACATCAGTATTGTGGCCCAGGTGGACCAGACAGGCTCCAAATCCAGTAATCTGCTGGACCTGAAGAACCCCTTTTTCAGGTAGCAGGGTTCGAGTGTGTGTGTGTGGGGACCAGGAGGCCCACAGCCCTGCCCACAGTGAATCTCTGCCATAGGTACACGGGCACGACTCCATCCCCTCCACCTGGCTCACACTACACATCTCCCTCCGAGAATATGTGGAACACAGGAAGCACCTACAATCTCAGCAGCGGGGTGGCTGTGGCTGGTGAGTCTCAACGCTATTTCCACACATAGCTGGGGGTCCTTGGTGGCAGCCTGGACTCCAGAGCTTTCGTTGCCCCGCCCCTGACACTCCACTTTCTGGTCAGGAATGCCTACTGCCTATGACCTGAGCAGTGTTATTGCTGGCGGTTCTAGTGTGGGTCACAACAACCTGATTCCCTTAGGTGAGTCTCCCCTAAGATCTATGACATGGCAGGGGAGGACTGGGATGTGCCAGTGGCCAGTTAAATAGCCAGTGCTTGGTCCTCTGCCACCACTGTCACTGTTGTGGTCACCTCTTCCTCTTCCTGGGGAGCCTCTTCTGTGTACCTCTCCACCTTGATCTGTCACCACTCCATCTGCCCTTCCCACACCAACCATAAGAGTGGAGTGGGCCAGGCAGGCTGGGGGCGGTGACGTCTTGCCTCCCTCCTTCTTTCCTCCCTGTCGCTGCGCAGCCAACACAGGGATTGTCAATCACACCCACTCCCGGATGGGCTCCATAATGAGCACGGGCATTGTCCAAGGTAACAGGGTAGCGGGGCCGTGGGCGGGGGGCCTCCCGCCTGGCCTGCGCACACGCTCAAGCTACCAGTGGGGGCCAGGCAGGCTGAGGGGTCATGCTGGCTCCTCAGTGCCCATGACCTGCCCCACAGGCTCCTCAGGTGCCCAAGGAGGCAGCGGTGGCTCCAGTGCCCACTATGCGGTCAACAACCAGTTCACCATGGGTGGCCCTGCCATCTCCATGGCCTCACCCATGTCCATCCCAACCAACACCATGCACTACGGGAGCTAGGTGCCTCCAGCGGCAACGCCACTGCGCACTGACAGCGCCAGGAAACCAAATGATGCCCACACCCGGTGCAGCTGGTGGCTGTCCCCCTTGTTCTGGAGAAGCGTGAACACCCGGTCACAGCCCTCTTTGCTATGGGAACTTGGACACTTTTGTACACGATGTCGCCGCTGCCCTCAAGTACCCCCCAGCCCACCCTTTGGCCCTGAGCGCGTGTCGCTGCCATATTTTACATGAGATCCTGTCGGGGCAGCCCTCATCCTGTCCTACCCTCTCCACTCTGACCTGGCTTTGACATCTGCTGGAAGAGGCAAGCCCCCTCCCACCCCACCCTATCTCTCAGCTGCGCCTGACCAGGCAGGAGGAGGCCAGCAGCTGCCACAGACCTGGCAGCACCCACACCCCAACCCGTCCTTGCACCTGCCCCTCACCTGGGGTGGCAGCACAGCCAGCTGGACCTCTCAACTACGAGGCCACATGGTCACCATGGGCGTGACATGCTGCTTTTTTTAATTTTATTTTTTTACTAAAAGAACCAGTGTCAACCCACAGACCCTCTGAGAAACCCGGCTGGCCGGGCCCAGCCAGCAGCCCCTGTCCCTAGGCCCAGAGGTTCTAGGTGAGGGGTGGCCATGTCAAGCCTTCAGGGCAGGCGTGACCCCCTCTCACCAAAGGGTTCACCTTACACTTGAATGTACAAAACTCCCAGCTGTCCAAAGGCCTGTAGTCCCTGCTTCCTGCTACTGTCCTATCCTGAGTCCTGAAGGTCCCCCTCCACCAAAAGCTAGAACAGGCAGCCCAGAGGAAAAGTTACCTAGGGCCGATGGGCAGACAAAAAGCCTCAAGGATCTGTCACAGGAGGAAGGAGGGCATCCTCTCCCTGATAGCTAATACAGGCCTGTATGTGCACTCCACATTCATGCTCTACTTCCTCTTCTCAAGACAGCATCCCTGGAAGGGGGCCTAGCAGGGACCTCTCCCTCCAGACAGAAAAAGAAAGAAAGCAAACAAGGAAGGAAGGGCAGTTTTTCCCTTGCTCCTTGGCCCTAGAGTCCCCACCTCAGTGGCCAGAGCCCAGGCTGGGCCCATGCCCACCATAGGTACTCCTGGCAATGGCTGGGCCTGCCCTGTGCCACCCCCTGCCCTGTAAGGGAAACAGGGTCCACAGGCAGGCTGGGAAACCGGGCTCTTCTGTCCATCAGTGATATTTCCTGCTCAGCTGCCCCTCCCCACCTTTATATAAATTCTCTGAATCACCTTTGCATAGAAAATAAAAGTGTTTGCTTTGTAAGAAAAGCCTGCAAAGTAGCAGGTGGTCTCCAGGGTCCAAGACTCTCCAGTCTTCGCAGGGAGGGCAGGACAGGTCGTAGCCCCTTGGGTTTGGCCTGGAAAAGAGAGACTGCTAGAAGTAGCCCCAGGAGGAAGGTGAACCCTTAGCCACAACAGAAACTGGTTTCTCACCTGCAGGCCTGGCCTTCCTAGGTTGTCACGGACTGGGCAGAGGTGGGCAGCAGGACACTGGGAGATAGAGGTGTGGCTTGGGGTGCTGGTATCACATGTTCCAAAGGCAATGGTTGAAAAAAGTATAGCTGCACAGAGATCTCAGGGTGAATTACAGTTGGGTGGCAGCAAGCCCCACTCCACAGCCCTACTGAGGACCGCCTGGACCCCTACCTTACACCCTAGAGCCAAGAGGGCGTGAAGCAGCACCACAGTGGCCAGCAGTGCTGCAGCCACCAGCCTTGTATCCTCTCCAACAACAGGCCACAGGGTGAACACCAGCCCAGCAGCTGACAGGGCCAGGGCCAGTGCTCCAAAGAGCCACTGCAGCCACTCTACTGGAATAAGCCACAGGACCTAGTGTGACAAGTGTAACTTCTGACCATACAGGGTGGGCCATGCAGCTTCCCACCAGTCCCCAGGGCCAAGCCACACTCACCACTGTGGGGATGAAGACAAAGAGTGAGTACCCATAGACACAAACCGTCTCCAGGAAGGTGTACAGCCCCATGCGCTCCCTTGTGCCCTGGCGCCACCGAAGGAAGCCCCACAGTGCCAGTGGCACTAGCCACGCATAGCAGTAGATGGTGATGCCTGCTATAGTCACTAGGAATGCAACATGAGCAGTTACTGCATGCCCTGAGGCCCTTGCAGCCAGAAGCTGAGCCCACCCATCTGCTTACCCTTGTGGAACTGGGGGCTATAGTGGATGGAAGGGTCTCTCCTCTGTGCAAGCACCAAAGTGAGGTTGCCAGTAACTGCCAGGACAAAGGCCAAGGTAGCACAGATCCAGAAGGGTCCTACAAAGGGGGACATGGAGTCCCAGGTTCTTCACTCCTAGGAAAGGTAGCTATGTCCTGTTTTAAGTGTGGTAAGACCCCAGACTCCATTTGATTCTCTCCATCCAGATCACTGGTGATAAAAGCTGCCTCTGAGCTCATCCTGGCTTTCTGGAATACCTTCCAAAATCCCTCAAGCACTTGGCTTCTTTTCTCTGACAAAGCTTTTTTGTTTGGTTTTTGGTTTTTTGAAATAGGGTTTCTCTGTGTAACAGAGGCTGTCCTAGAAGTCACCTTTTAGGCCAGGCTGGCATTGCCTCTACCTCCCAAGTGCTGGGGCTAAAGGCCTGCACCACCACCACCTGGCATCTGAGAAAGTTCTTTATTGGTAGAATAGGCTTGGTGCTTTTCCACTGTGGGCAGGATCTTGTCTAGTCCTAAGGCTTCATGAATGCCACCTTCAGCTGTCCACTCCCAAGTTGCTCCATAGCCCTGAACTGCATATGTTTACATTTGAACTTCACATGGGTATCCTGAGCCCCCATGCCCCTGATCTGCTCCTCATACCTGCCCAGGTGGACTGGGTAGGCCACCCTGGCCTTTCTCACTTTAGACTGCTGGGCATACTCTACAACCAACCACTCTGCACTTAAAGCCTCTACTGCCTGCTCCTGCTGCCTTCTACCATTAATTTCTAAAGTGCCAGATATGGTCTTTCCAAAACCTTCTCACCAAGACCTCTTCTTGCCATATTATGTGACCACTGTACTCACCCATGACCTCCCAGCTTCCACTTCCATGATGTAACCTATGCCATCATGCAAGTTCTATTTCCATCATGGGGCCCAGAAATTTTCTGGGTCCTCTTATAAGCCTCTCTCCATCAATGCCAACAATACTCATTTGCCTGCCTTACTCAGAGGCTTTCTTTCCTAACTTCTCTGTACCAGACAGTGATGCTACTCATCCTCTACGTTAGCCCTGCCGACCACCTGCTTTCTCTCCTGGTGTCTCCCTCAACTGGTCACAAATTTTCTTTATGACCAACTGCCTGGCACAGTCCCATGCATGTTGAATCAAACATATAGCCTCATTTACCATATAAGTCAGGCCGATTTCTAAGATGGTGCCGTACAAAATTGCGGCCAGGGTGGGGCAGCAGCGAGCCTTTGATCCTGTCCAAGACCTGAAGAGCAAAGCCAGGGTCCAGAATGAGAATCCTCGAATTCTGAGAGGCATCACCCCTGTAGATTTCTACTATCTTGACACTATATCCTAACTGAAACAAGCTCAGCTGTCCTCTCCAGGCTGTTCATTGGGTGTGTCTATGGCTTGTGATCTTGGCCCCTACCTCCTCTGAAGGTAAGCTTTTGGGACTGCCAAAATTTTTAAATGTGCATTGGTGTTTTACCATGCAACTCCCCTGGAATTGGAGTTACAAACAGTTGTGAGCTGCCATGTGGGTACTAGAAATTGAACCACAGTTCTCTAAAAGAACAGTCAGTACTCTTAACCTATAAGCCATCTTGTCTGCCTCTCGCCTCCTCTCAACTTCTTGTAGCCTCTTCTCCCAGCCACAGTAAGGACAGTCCATAAATTCTGGATGTTCTCCCTCCTACATCTCCAGGATGTGTCCTCTCAGATACATTTGTATCTGCTTATTCTAGGTATTCCTCTTCTGCTCTAAAGTCTTCTATAACTTCCAATCACCTCAGGTCAAGACCCAAACTTCAGCTCATTAATGGAACTTGCATACAGGCCAAGTGCTATCATTTGTGGCCCTAGCTACACAAGAGGCTGAGACAAAAGACTGGGAAACAACAAGACACTGACTTTAAGACACATACCCATCCATCCACCTACCTTATAACCTACTTTGCCTTCCAGCCCTATCACATACACACCGTTCATCCAAGTTCAGTGCCCCATATATAGTGGCTGAACCCCAAGCAACTCCAAGCCCTTGCCACCTATGTCCCAGGACTCACCTGGGAGGTGTCCACATCAAAGAAGCTTTGATAGTAGTCAAACGTCCAGAATCTCACCTGTGGTTTTTCTTCCTGTAGAAGCTACAAGACACAAACTTTCAGGACCTCCGTACTCATCCAGGATAAGGATAGGGACAGGGCACGAGGGCCTAGGAGACTTACCAATATTTTGTCACCCTCTTCCTCCATTTCTTCGGCTCCATAGCCAATACCTGACCCCACAATCACAGCCACGTGCCCCCGTGAGGTCAGTGCATCACTTTGGCTAGTGGTTGCTGCATCTGGGGTCTCTGCCAGGAGATTTGTGGCTTCTTCGAACTCTGACCAAAGAACATGTGCACAGGTGTTTGGAGTCTGAAAATTCCTTAGTCCAGTGCTCATCAAACCCGGAGGTGGTTGCCTCACTGCCCTCCCCTAAGGAATGAGTGTCTTCAATTTTGACACTTAGAGAAGTGTGCTCCTCTACTAAGATGGGGTTCAGGTTTCAGTTTAGGTCCTAGGCAGACTTGGAGGCTCTGATGTGTCTCTGAGTTTATAGTGGGAGCAGGTTCATCCTGGGATCTGGGTCCCAGCTGCCTGGGGTTCTGTCCTAGGACAGAAGTAGGAGCTCAGACCACTTCCGGGCCCCACTCACCATGGAAGGCCAGTTCGTCAACCGCTGCCATTGCGCTCTGTGAACAAAACTGGATCAGTCAATCCCACAGCCCTCCCCAGCACTGATGCTTCCGCCTACAGTCCTGCCTGGAACCTAACACTCGGAGTGAGACCAGCTCCTCGCCGGGCCCTGCAGATGCACCCCGCCCTCTTCACCTGAGGCTACCTAAGCTGGCGTGGCCTATGCTCCGTGCGCGTGCGTGCGGCCAGCCTAGCCGTAAGAACCCAACCTTCATGCAACGGCAACATCCGGCGCTAACCCGGCTCTTGGTGTCCAGTGAGAAACTACTTCCGGTGTCTTGCGCTTGCGCAGGTGCCACTCCATCGCTTTTCATGCGCATGCTATGCTTTTCCACTGGACTTCGAACCACAGGGAAAGGATGGCAACAGCCGCTCTGAAGAGATTCTGGTCTGGTGGGCGCAGTGAAGTGGGAGGAGAGGCGAATGGTGCCGCGACGGTGGCGGCAAAGCCAGGGGTGTGGACACGACTGGGTGAGTAGTGGCAGAAGGCGGCAGGGTGGGTGGCCCGAGTGGCTGGATCACTGTCACCACAGCGTGTCTTTCCCTCAGGCATTTGGACCCGCGCGCTGCTTCGGGATTACGCCGAGGCGTGCAGAGACGCGGTGGCTGCGTCTCGTGCCCGGCCAGGCCGCACAGCCGCATACGTAGGGCTGCTAGGCGGCGCCGTGGCGTGCTGCATCCTGGCGCCCAGCGAGGGTGCCTTCGAGGAGGCCTTGCTCGACGCGTCAGGGTCCCTCTTGCTACTGGCGCCGGCCACGCGCAACCGTCACTCGGAAGCGTTCTTGCAGCGTCTGCTGTGGATGAGAGGCCGCGGGCGGCTGCGCCACGTGAACCTTGGGCTCTGCTCGCTGATGTACGAGGCGCCCTTCGATGCCCAGGCCAGCCTCTACCAGGCCCGCTGCCGCTACCTGCAGCCACGTTGGATCGACTTCCCCGGTCGGATCCTCGACGTGGGGTTCGTGGGCCGTTGGTGGATTCTGGAGAACCGCATGCGTGATTGCGACATCAACGATGACGAATTTGTCCACCTGCCTGCGCACCTCCGTGTCTTCGGGCCCCACCAGCTGCATTCTGAGGCCAACGAGAGGCTGTTCGAGGAGAAGTACAAGCCGGTCGTGCTCACTGATGACCAGGTGGACCAGGCGCTGTGGGAAGAGCAGGTGTTGCAGAAGGAGAAAAAAGATAGACTGGCGCTGAGCGAGGCCGGTTCACTGGTGCAGTCCGAGGTTTCCAGATGAAACCCAAGGAAACCCCAGGTTCAGGCAAACTGTTGGCCACGGACCGTGCAATGGATGAAATGGATGGAGTTAAACTCCACTCAGTGTGATTTTATGGGAAGCTCTTCTCGCTCTGTTTTATTAGCTGAAGCTAATTGAAAGCCTTCCTGGTCTTGAACATGGAGAAGAGCTGAAGTATTTGACGGTGTTCTATTTATGACCACCAGAACTTAGTAGTACGGAACCTGTATGGTGTAGCTTATTGTCCCTGGGGATGTACTTCAGTGGTAGAGCATTTGCCTCTCGTGCCTGGGTTCCTTGCTAACATTCCCAGCACTGTAAAACAGAACAAAAATGAACTTTTTGTTTTTGGGTTATTGTTTATTTGATTGGTTTTTTGAGACTAGGACTCCCAAAGCACCCAGACTGACCCTGAATCCGGCCTCAGCTCCAGTCCACCACAGTGTATACAGTCCAGGCAAAAGTCCTAGTCAGTGATCTGCCGTGTTGCCTAGTCTAGTCTGGAATTCATGGCCAAAAGTGGTCACTCCAGCAGCAGGATAGCACAGTGTTTAAGAGCAGGGAATCTGACCTTTCTTTTCTGCTAGGCAAGCACATGGTGCACAGACATACTTGCTAACAAAACATTCATGCACATAACACTTAATAAACCATAATCATGTGCCACCGTGCCCAAACTCAGACTTTTCTTTTTCAGTTGAAGCTGAAATGTGCCTGTTTGGGCTTTTTGTTTGTTGCGGATTTTGGTTAGATTTATTTTGAGACAGGGTCTGGAACTGGCAATGAAGACCAGTCTGGCCTTTATCTCGTTATCTGTCTGCCTCTGACTCCCCCACCCCGCCCCCTGGTTTGATTTGTTTTTGAGCTGTGGTCTCACAGCCCAGACCAGCCTCTAATTCATTCTATAGCAAAGATGGAGGGAGAGATCTTTCTATTGTATGGTTTATTGTGTAGGGTACTATTGTCACAGGTACATGCTGGGCAAGCACTGTACCCCCAGTCTTTTTTTTTTTTTAAGATACTCATTTTTATTATGTATAGTTTTCTATCTGCATGCATGCCAGAAGAAGGCATCAGATCTCATTACAACCATGTGGTTGCTGGGAGTTGAAGATAACCTCTGAGCCATCTCTCCACCCCCTTTATTTTTAATTAATTTATTTTTTCCATTCAAATTTTTTTTAAAAAAAATAATTTATTTAACTTTGTGTTGATGGAAAGGTATCAGATCCCTTGGAACTGGAGTTACAGACAGTTGTGAGCTGCCATGTAGGTGCTGGGAATTGAACTCAGGTCCTCTGGGAGAGCAGCCAGTGCTCTGAACCACTGAGCCATCTCTCCAGCCCCCCCATTCAAATTTTTTTAAGATTTATTTATTTATTATGTATCTAGTGTTCTGCCTGCAGACCAGAAGAGGTCACCTGATCTCATGATAGATGGTTGTGAGCCACCATGTGGTTGCTGGGAATTGAACTTTGAACCTCTGGAAGAATAGCCAGTGCTTTTAAACTCTGAGCCGTCTCTCCAGCCCATCTCCTAGTCTTCTTGGGGTTTTTTGTTTTGTTTTGATAGTTTCTGTTTCATCCTTGAGGCCCTTTGACCTAGCTTCTCTTAACTGGTAGCATTATATAATACCATCAGTGCAGGAGACATGGGAGTGCACAGATTTTACTGTTGTGTGTACAGCAGCAGTTGGAACCATAGAGGAAGGCTGGAATGTGTTCTGATCCCAAAGCCTACATACAGTTGAACGTCATTACATGCAGGGACCCTGTGAAAAAGAACAAGGTGGGGCACATAGGTTGGGTCTGGCAAGGTTCAAGCTAATTTATTAGGGAAGCAAGACTACCAATGTCAGGTGGCCTGTGGCTAGTCAATAAAGGCGGAGGATCAAGCAGTCATCTTTGTCATGGTGTTTTTGTTGTCCCAGCAGTGATAACCTGTTGTACACTGACCTACCCCCAATCCTGGTGGTGTGTGTTTTGCCTGATCTTTCCTTATCATATGTACTGAAAGGGTGGTAGTTCTTTTTGTTTAGTTGAGTTTTGTTTGATTTTTTTGAGACAGGATTTCTCTGGAGAGCTGGCTGTCCTGGAACTCAAAAGATCCCCATTTTTGCTTCCTGAGTGCTGGAATGAAAGGTGTGTGCTATCAGCCAGTCATTTATGGCATACGGTAATATTTTTTTTTGTATATGGTTATTCTTACATTCAAATCTTTTGTGGAGATGAGGATGCTAATACACTTTTTGGGGACTGGCAAGGTGGTTCAGTAGGTAAAGGCATGTTCAGACAAGCCCAACCACCAGAAATCATGCCCTGGGACTCAATTGGTAGAGAGAACTAACTCCTCCAAGTTGTCCTGTGACCTCCATTCACACAAAATAAATGAAAAGGTTTCTAAAACATCCACATTTTCAATTTTTAGATGTTTCAATTAGCACATATATAAATGATATATAAAATTCATTAAAGCATTTTATATCTATATAAAGTATTTTTATTAATTCACTCTCCATTGCTGTCTGTCTTTTTTTTATAATTTCACTTTATTTTATGTCCAGATCTCCTGGAACTGGAGTTAAAGACAGTTGTGGACCACCATGTTGTTTCTGGGAATTGAACTCAGGTCCTGTGGAAGAGTAGCCTGTGCTCTTAACCTCTGAACCATTTTCCAGCTCCCCATTAATGTCTCTTGCACCCTGCTCCCACTTATATGCTTCCTCTCTTCCCAGCTAGTATGTGTGTGTGAGAGAGAGACAGTATGTAATCCTGCCTGGCCTTGAACTAAACTAGAACTAGCCTTTACCCCCCTAGGACCAGGACTTATATTTGTATATCTTGTGAGTTTAAACTTACCATCTCAAGGGATCCTCACCAGTGACTGACTATACCTTTTCTGACAACTGTTACTGACATATATATAAATCTTCATGATGGCGAGGGGCCCAGTCTTGTGGAGAGCTCCTCTGTTCTTTCTGTCCTTTCTTCAATGTTCCCTGAGCCTTTAGGGGACAACCAAAATGTCACACATCTTAATTTTAAATTGTTTTTACTTCATGTGCATTGGTGGTTTTGTCTGCATTTTTATGTCTATATGAGGGTGCAAGATCCCTTAGTTCCTTATGGGTGCTAAGAATTGAACCTGGGTCTTCTGGAAGAGCACCCAGTACTCTGAATCACTGATCATCTCCCCAGCCCCATGCATCTTAATTTTACAAAGAAAAAAAAAAAGTTAATGTATGGAAAGATGGCTTAGCAGATAAAACACAAATGTGAGCACATTGGTGGCACAACCTTTAATCCCAGCAGAGGCAGAGGCTGACTTATCTCTGTGAGTTCCGAGGCCAGCCTGCTCCAAAGCAATACAGAAAAACCCTGTCTCAAAAAATAACAAGAAAAACCACAAGTGTGCATACCTGAATTCAGGCATCTGGTACCCACAGGAAAAGCAGGGCACAATATGCCATGCATTTAACCCCAGCACTTGGAGGCTTGAAGACAGGTAGATGCCTAACTGAATTCAGGTTCAATGAAAGACCTTATCTCCAAAATAATGAGGTGGGGGACAGACACATGGGGACACATGCCTATGATCCCAGCATTCAAGAAGACAGACCATATGATCTCTGTGAATTTGAGGCCTACATAGTGAGACTCTTTAAAATTAAAAAAAAAAAAAAAAAAAAAAAAAAAAAGATGGATAGAGCTGTGTAATGGTGGTTTAATCTCAGCACTTGGGAGAGATCAGGATAGCCAGGGTTACACACACACACACACACTAAGGAAGAAGAGTTTAGGAAGAAGCTGATGTGAGCCTCTGACCTTCATAAATGTGTAAGTGGACACTGCATATACAAAACGAAGTTTGGAGATCTTTCCAAGGCTGTGACAGTTGATCACTCAGACTCTAGTTCCCAGTCCTATGACTTACTGCAAAGATTTCTATTGTCTTTTATCCTAACCTTGTCTAGCCATACTTTACTTTTGCACCGGGGTGGGGGGATTTATCCCCAAAATAGTGTAGACTAAAGTGTTCCATTCGTGATCCACATGCTGGGACCTCTGTGCTAGAAGACATTAAATACTGCCATTGCTTGCCATAAATAAACCTTGTATGAAAGGGCCTGGAGAAATGACTCCATGGTTAAGAGTTGCAGAGGACCTGGGTTTAGTTCCCAGTATTACATGGTGGCTCTCATTAATTCCAGTTCCAGGGGAGCAGTGCACTTTTATCTCTGTGAGCATGAGGCATATGTATGTACAAGCATTCAGGAGGCAGAGGCAGGCATAACTCAGTTTCAGTACAGCCAGAGCTACGTAGTGAGACCCTATCTCAACAACAAAGAAAATATCCCCAGAAGCTGTCCTCTGACCACAAACATGACATGGCACAGGTATGCCTGTCCTCAAACAGCATACACATTTTTTCCCCCCAGACAAGCTTTCTTTGTGTAGCACTGGCTGTCCTGGAACTGGCCCTGTAGACCAGGCTGACCTTGAACTCACATAGATTCACCTGCCTCTGCCTCTCATGTGCTGGGGTTAAAGGAGTGTGTAGGTGGAATTTTCCTGTCCCACAGCCACTCTCAAATAAGCACACTGAGGCTTAACTCCTTATTTATGCTCTGCCACGTTGTAGTACCACATTAACAGGGCATGTTCATCTCCTGCTCCCTCTGCATCTGGCTGGCAACTCCATACTCCACCCTTCCTCCTCCCAGCTTCCTCCTAGTCTGGCTCTCCTGCCTACCCCTATTCTGTTCAGCTTTTGGCCAGTCAGCTCCTTTATTAAACCAATCACAGCAACATCTACTCACACAGTGCAAAGGAATATTCTACAGCAAGTTTGTGCTACTACTGCCCAGCAATACATATTTTTTAAGGTTCATTTTATGGTTATGAATGTTTTGCCTGCATTTATGCATATGTGCCACATAAGCACAGTACTCAGGGAGGTCAGAAGAGGGCATCAGATTCCCCTAGGTCTGGAGTTATAAGTGGTGGTGAGCTGCCATGTCAGGCTATGAGCTGAACAAGACCCTCTGCAAAAGCAATGAGTATTCTTCCACTAAGCCATCTCCCAACTTTGTGGGGGTTTTTTGTTTATTTGTTTGTTTGTTTGTTTGTTTAAGATTTATTTATTATGTATAAAGTGTTCTGTCTGTAAGCATCCCTACAGGCCAGAAGAGGGCACCAGATCTCATTGTGGATGGTTGTGAGCCATCATTTGGTTCCTGGGAATTGAACTCAGGACCTCTGGAGAGGGGTCAGTGCTCTTAACCTCTGAGCCATCTCTCCAACCCCCTTTGTGTGATTTGTTTAAAAACCTTTTTTTAAAGGCAGCCAACCAAACAATTCGGCAGGTAAAAATGATTGCCACTCAAGCCTGATAACCTGAGTTTTATCCCCAGAAAACTTGTGCTTTGATCTTCACTGTGACATACATTTATACAGCATACACAGCACACACAATTGAAAAGAAATTCTAAATTCTAGTCCTACTCAGTTACTTACCAAGGCTTATTGATGTTTAATAAGGATCAGGAGAAACAAATAGGCTGAATAGATGTTTATTCAGAGAGAAATAACTTACAACCTAGACAGATGAATACCACCAGGTTCCTGGTCCCAAGGATGCCTCAGGATCACCATGCTGCAAGCAAGAGAGCTCTCCCAGGCCCCTCCTCAGACTTAGTTCCCCCAGGTAATGTCCGGCCCTGTCTCTACCCCCCAATGGGCGTGGTCTATGCCACAGGTGCTGACAAAGTGAATATCTCACTACAAAGGCTCTGGGCCAGAATCCTAATATTGCCCTTCTGTTATCTTGAGACAAAAGTTGTAGCTCAGGTTGATGGAGAACTTGGTATGTAGCCAAGGCACTGAGCTCCTTGCTTTCTGTGCCTCCTGAGTGCTGTGACGACAGCCTGTGCTGTGCATTTTTCACCCTTCTGGTAGAGTAGCTGTGATAGCTCTTCTTGACTTTCAACTTGACTACATCTGCCTCTGGAGTGCTGGAATTAAAGGCATGTGCCACAGGCCCTTTTGTTAATTTTTAAAACTTTATTGTTTGTTAGTGCACATGCACCACAGTGCACACATGGAAGGGGTTCTGTTTCCATCTTTGCATTAGTTCCAGGCATGGAACTCTGGCTTTCAGCATTGCCCCACTAGCATGCTCACCACCCCCAACCAGCCATTCAGTGGTCCTGATCGAAGTAGTAAAGAGGGACCTGGGGTGGTGGTGTGCTGGCTAGTGTTCTGTCAGCTTGACACAGCTGGGGACCTTTGGGAAGAGGGACACTCAAGTGAGAAAATGCCTTTAATTCCAGCCTTGAGAGGCAGATGCAGGTGGATCTCTGTGACTTCAAGGTCAGCCTGGTCTACAAAGCTACACAAAAAAAACCCTGTCTCTAAAAACAAAAACAAACAACAAACAAACCCTCCACCCAAGCTCTGTCACATGGTAGCTTTCTCAAGCACCACTTTTTAAAATTACAACAGGAATCCGTTCTTTGCTTCCACCATATGTGTCCTAGGGGTTGAACTCAGGTCATCAAGTGAGGCTTGGTGGCAAGCACCTTTACACAGCAAGCCATCTTACTGCCTCCCCTCTTTTAATGATTTTTAAGTTTTTATGTGTTTGAGCATTTTGCCTGCAAGTATGTATGTGCACCATGCATGTACTTATTGCCAAAGGAAGTCAGAAGAGGGCATTGGGTCCCCAGGAGTCACAGACAATTGTTAGCTGCAACGTAAGTGCTGGGAAGCAAACCCAGGTCCTCTACAAGAGCAGCACATGCTCTTACCTGCAGAGCAGTCCCTCCATCCAGCCCGAATATATTTATTTAATGTATAGGAAGAGGAAATCAGATCCCATTACAGGTGGTTGGAGCATGTGGTTGCTGGGAATTGAACTCAGGACCCCTGGAAAAGCAGCCAGTGCTCTTAATTACTAAGCCATCCTCCGGCTCCCTAGCCTAAACAAAATTAAACCTTAATCTCTGCTCTCTGGTCCAGTCCAGGGATTGGCTGCCATTATGTTCCTGCTGCTCTTAGACAGCCAGGCAGCTCTCCATTAAAGCCATGTGTTTTGTGAGCCAGCCCCTGAAGTCCTTCATGGTTATAAGGTCTATAGCTCTTAGCCAGTCACTTGTCC